GAATATCTGTGGGGCTTGGGCTTCTCAGACACTTGTTAATTTTGAACATACTTCCTTCATGCATCTTAACTGTCTTCATCGGTAAGGTTATTTTTATGACTAAAGAGAAAACTTAATTTTGTGACCCGCTGTACGCCTGAGGAGGTTGGAGCCTAGATCTGCATCGCTGACGTGCTGCCCGCGTAAACTGCATGTACAAGGGCCCGGGGGTGGACGTGAGCACGGGTTAATGATTGGCCTCTTAGGGACCTCGTGGCCTTGATCAGGTGCAGAGAGTGGCCATGTGACACAGCAGAGGGCTCGTGGCCACTGCGGTGGTGAGCTGGCGACACACATCCCTCCTGGCGCTCAGCTGGGAGGACGGGGCGCCAGGAGGAGGCGGGTGGCTCTGGGGGGCGATGGCTTCTTCTGGGCTTTGCCGTTAGATTGCTCTGCATCTTGGGACTACCCTGCGTCTCTCCCACAGCAGCTCTCGGGGTAATAACTCTGTCACTCCGCATGGTGCCTGAGGCATTTCCTGCCTTCAGAAGAGCTGCTTTTCCCTTTGCTGTCTCATCTTTCTTTGACCGACTTGCTATGAAAGGATACAAGAAGAGCTGTTGACCTGAATGTGAATGAAGACATTTCCTCGCTTTCTGCTGGGCATTTGGCTTGTGCTCCCAAATGCTCAGAAGGGTCGAGGAGCTTCCCAGATGGACGTAGGACATCTGTGTCCTGGGCTTTGCCGTGTCTGTCCTGAGCGGTGAGCAGGCCTCTACCGAAAGAGACTGGCAGTTGCTTTCTTGCTGGTTGCCTCTCCAGCGCCTGCACGCCTCAGGCTCGGGCTGTCACTTCGCTCCTTGAGGAGGGTTTTCTGCTGCCACCATGAGGGAGACACAGAAAACAACATGAAGGCCCATTCGTGTGCCTGCTAACAGGTTGCAAAATGGCTTTTTCACAAACAAAACCTTTATTTGAAAGACTAGAAAGCATTTTCAAAACAAAAGTTGCCTGTGAGTGTTGCTAGCAGAAGAGATTGAGGTGCAAGTTAACGGGCACTGCTGACACCTTTCGTGTGCATGTGCTGAGGAGTGTTTTGGTCTTTCAATTCTCTGGACTTTGGTTTGAGAGTTGTGAAATACTCTTTTGTGAAAAGTAATAGCGAACTCTGTCGCAGGAAGTTGAAAGAAAAAATCTGATAAGTTAAAATAACCTTTTAATTTTGATTGACCTCTTTTTGTGGGATGATGTCAAAGATGTTATCTAATTCTTGCCTAAGATTTTAGGTTTCATTTTTCAACTTTTGTGTGCAAATTGAGCAGTATATGTTATGCAGACTTGCTTTCTGGCAAACTATTAAACTCTGACTGTTTTGTTTAAAAGGAAAAAATGTGTCCTGAAAAATTGTAAGTGTGTCTGATTTTTCTTCCAAGCAGATCAATATCCCTGCTATTTTTACCTCAGTAGACTTGTAGGTGTCTTTTCTGCAAATTGAGGAGTTTAGAGAGTAGCAGTGGATTTTTGAATTGTTTTGTCATGTTAGTGCTGATTAATCAAGCCAGTCTCTATTTTGATTGAACTTCCAATAGTTTTAAAGTTCTAATTTCTATTCTTGTTTTTTTTGTTGTTGTTTTTGTTTTACAGGTCACATGTACAATTGCCTGTAAGTATCATTCCGTTGTGTTTTTTGTTGTTGTTGTTGTTTTTTGTTGTGTTTTTTGTTGTTGTTTTTGTTTGTTTTTGTTTTTTTGGTACATAGTCTTCTTTTTCTCTTTTAAGAAAGTGTCAGCTTTAGTGTCAGCTAAACATTAAAAAAAGGCAAACAAAAACTTCCTAAAAATAACTTTTAGAAATACCACTTGAAATATAAACTTGTTTATTTTAATTCCATAATTCCAGCAAAACACTTAAATAAATCCTTAGTTATTTTAGCATGTACTCTAATCCCCTTGATTTTCAGGTTTTTAAAGATTTCAATAAAATCAAGAATAGATTTAATGTGTTTGGAAGATTGGAGAGTATACTTAAAAGCTCCTCTTCACCAGCACCCCAAACACTCAAAACACTCAATGTGATGCATTAAGGAGTTCTTGAAATAAGTGTAGAAGCTGCTGTACTGGCCAAAGACCTATTGAAAGCAACTAAGGTAACAAAGATGTGTAGGTAACAACTGTGTGTGGCAGAAACTTCCAAACCTTGTTGCAGGTTCATTCTATGTAATTATTGAGCATCCGATGTAGATGAACTGGGCTTTAAATTTTAGGGCCAAGATAAAATAAGAAGGCCAAATTCTCATGCAGCTTTAGAGTTGGCCCTAAAGGATCTTTGGATTGTGAATGGATTTGTCCCATAGTACTTTTTGTTTTCGCTTTCATGAATCTTTGTGTGTATCCGTTCTGGAAATAAAATAAGAAAAGAAGGTTGCACTCCCTGCCTGCCTCCTGGGACCAGGAATCCTATTGTTCCCAGTCACCTTTTTTAATCTCCCTATGGATGTTGCTTGTTTAACAATATCACAGTTTCAACTAAGGTAGTAATTTTTGTGTGTAATGTTAAGGAAACGGCTGAGTCAACTCTCTCCATGCTTGAGGCTGAGCTATGTTGACATAACGCTACTTTTGTAGGCGTGCTGTGTCTCTTTCCCACTTGAGGGAATGCACTGTGCACATCTGAGTGCCTTAGTGCTCCTATTCTGGGGTTAACGGGCAGAATTGCCAGGCCAAGTAAAGCAGCTTTCCTCTGGTAGAACAGGAGAAAAGTGTGCACAGGATAGGACTGTTAGTTGATTCAATTCTTTTCAAGCAAAACTGCACTGAAATAAAGAGCATCTCATGATGGCCCTCATCCGGAATATGAGTAGAGTCAGCGAATGACCTAAATAACCTGACAGTCTCTTAACATAAATGTGATGCTCTGACAGCAGTTAAAAGTGGTAAAACCAGGAAAAGTGCAGTGAGATCTCTGTTCAAAAAAGAGTTGGCAAAGCAGAAGTGCCTGCATATCTATGAATGATTATGCTTTTGCAAATGGGAAACCTAGGGGTTCTGTAAAGGTATTTATAGCTTTGTATTTTTCTTTCTCTTTAGGCATTCAGGATTGCAGCTCAAAAAATGTAACTGCAGCAGCAGGAACCAGTAGTAATGATGATTTATCAGTAAACTCTGTAAGTGGGAACAAAACCTACAGAGGCGGAAGATCAAAAAGAGATGTGTCACCACTCAACGCGATAAGTGTTCAGAACAACGTGACAAGTACGTGATTTGGAGTCTGGCTGGGAGGTGAATGTTCAGGGTGTTTCGTGCCTTTATGCTCTGTCCGTATTTGAGGTCCAAACTGTGGTCCAGAGTGCAAATGGCATAGCAGGGAGTAGATCTGTTTGCTGTGCTGGAGTAGGGAATCAGTGGGAGAAATGATCTGCACAGCTTGCTGGGAATGTAGTTTAAAGCTGTGATTGTAGCATAGCCTTGAAATGATTTTATCATCCTTTGATTTCTCTAAAGGCTTGTGTTGCCTTCTCTTCCCTGCTTTTTTATGTCCTAAGTCAGACATATGGCAGTTCAAACTTTGAAACACGTGTGTGACAGATCACAGCACAAGGAACCTGTTTATTATAGAGTGCTATAGCATGTATCTAGAGGAGAGAGGAAAAGGATTATTCCGTTGGGGATAGCCAGCTTCCAAAAACAAACGAACAAAAACAAACAAAAAACAAGAGCTGGTTGTATGCAAATTCTTCCTCAGTGTCCTGCATGAAATGCAGTGAGCTGACATGGCATGAAGGCCATCACTGCTGCACCTCAACCCTATAACTTGCTGACTCTTTAATTTAACTGAACGGGGAGCAGAAGCAGTAAGAAGAGCCGCAACTATCAAAGCATGCGTTGTGCAATGTGTAAGTGTGGCTTGGTTAAAATAATAGTCATCCAAAGAATACAGAGATAGTTATTCTTGGAGTAGGTGGGAGTTCTTTGCATTTTTTTTTGGCTATTTCTCAGAAAACACTCTTGCAGAGAGATTCTTGCCTTTACCTTCCACAGAGCCCGTGACACCTTTTTGTCGCTGTTGCCTCGCGTGGCTGCAGATGTCAGCAGCTTGGGGCGCTCCTGACTGCTGCCTCACGTGAGAGTGACTGAGCACTGGACCTGTGGCCTTTCTGACTCTCCTTGTGAGCAGATCTTCTTACAACCTGACAGTTCCTTGTCTTGCCTTCCGCAGCGCCCAGCCCAGTTCTTAACCTCAAGGCAGAGCACATCGGTGTGCAGCAAGTGAATTTGTCAGGGAGAGGAAATGCCTCTGCTTCCACATCCTACACGTACAGGATAGAGATCGAAAGTGATGGAACCACCATTAGGAATGAGTACAGTTTAACAGGCAGAGACCATGTTGCACTATTTTTGTCATCCTAGATTTCTGTCTGTTTCTCTGTCTCAGAGGTCATTGTGGCAACAAATATGTTTGGCATAGGAAAGGTTTGTGAAAGGAGATAAAGAGAATGTCCTAAAAATCTCCTGTAGGTTTTCCAGAAATGCCCCAGTGTGCAAGCCTGGAAAGGAATGTTAGTACTGCAGAAATGTCCCATGATTCCAGGCAGGGCCCCTGTGCAAGACAGGGAAATATGGCTTTGCTGCTGCTTCCTTCTGTGTGTGTTTACCGTAGCCTCTTCTGTTGCCTTTAACAGAGCCTGGCCTGGTTCTTAATCTAACAGCACAGAACATTGGTCCACATCAAGTCAGCTTAAGGTGGACAGCAAATTCTTCAGTGTCCTACACATACAGGATAGAGATTGAAAGCAATGGAACCACCATTAGGAACGAGACGTCCAACGTCACTGAAGCTGAAATTATGGACCTAGAGCCTGGGACGTTGTACAGCTTCACAGTGTTTGCGGTGGCAGCTGATGCTCAGACAGAAGGAGAGGGAGTATCCATAGCCCTGTACACGAGTAAGTTACAGTTACTGCCACCTGTGTTTGTGGTGAACCGTGTGTTGCTGTAGAGCAGAGGGCTGTGCCTACCTGCCAGGGGGTGGTACTTTTGTGCTGTTGTGGGCAGAGGTGGTGGTGGTGTGGGTGAAGAATCTGGTTTCATCTCCCTGTCAAGGATGGGCTGTTAATGTGCAGAAGAAACGCAGCGCTAGTCTAATAAAGATAACAAATAAAGCAAAGCAGTCTTCCCCCTTGGGCTGACAGCCTCTGGTGTTGTCTTTTCGCAGAGCCCAGCACAGTTCTTGATGTCACGGCAGAGAATGTTGGTCCGACTGATGTCAACTTAACATGGACAGTGAATGATACAGCTTCCAAGTCCTACACGTACAGGATAGAGATTGAAAGTAATGGTGCTGCCATTAGGAATGAGACATCCAATGTCACCGAGATTGAAATTACCAACTTAGAGCCTGGGACACTGTACAAGTTCACAGTATCTGCAAAATCAGGAAACAGTTCAAGTGAAGAAGGTGGATTGTCTATAAGCCTGTTTACAAGTAAGGAGCTGCTGCTTCTGCTCTGTTGCAAACAAATATGCAGCCAGGAGCAGGCAGCCCTGCTTTTCACCTTTGGTTTCTAGCACTGTAGTATTTCCTGCTGCTGAGGTGCTTTGCTCCAGGAAGCTAAGGTGATGCCCTGGTATCTTAGAAGCATTGCTGGCAAACAGATATTGATCCTTCTTTGCAAAATGGGAATATATAGTGGTGATTCTTTCTGTGTATTCTGCCATGACATATACTTTACTTGCCTTTCACAGAATCTAGCCCAGTTCTTCATCTCAGAGCACAATACATTGGTCTTGAGACAGTAAATTTAACATGGACAGTGAATGACACAGCTTCCACGTCCTACACATACAGGATAGAGATTGAAAGCAATGGAACCAGCATTAGGAACCAGACATCCAACAACCCTGAAGCTGAAATTGCCAACTTAGAGCCTGGAACACTGTACAGCTTCACAGTGTTTGCGGTGGCAGCTGATGCTCAGACGGAAGGAGAGGGAGTATCCATAGCCCTGTACACCAGTAAGTTACAGTTACTGCCGCCCATCTTTGTGGTGAACCGTGTGTTGCTGTAGAGCAGAGGGATGTGTCTGTCTGCTGGATGATGCAATTTCATCTTGTTGTGTGCAGAGGTGATGCACAGTGCGTATCTGCAAAGCTGGGGTGCATCAATGTGTGGATGAAACCTAGCCCTGACAGAGGGGTTGGAGAAGGTGTCTCCAAGGCCCCTGGTGTGGGGCAGGGCTTCCTCCTGAGGCCGCTTCCGAGGATTTACTGCCTTTCAGTGTGCACAGAGGCACTGTCCCCTCTGCCTCGCCCTGCGTGCTCCTCTGCTGCCTGCCTGCCTTGCTGTCCTGCAGGTGCAGCTCGGAAGCACTGGCCTGAGGCCCCGCGCTCCTGCTGTGCAGGGCTACAGGAAGGTGACCTCAGTCACGACTCCTTTTCGTTACTTCACCTGGCCCTAGATGCCAGCAGCCCCCAGGAGCAGCTTGGGGCACTCCTGGGCACTGTAGGACATGAGAACGACTGAGCGCTGGGTCCTTGGCCCTTCTGGCTCTGCTTGTGAGCAGATCTTCTTGCAACCTGACAGTCCCTTGTTTCGTCTTCCACAGGGCCCAGCCCGGTTCTTGACCTCAAGGCAGAGTATATCGGTGTGCAGCAAGTGAATTTGTCATGGAGAGTGAACGACTCTGCTTCCACGTCCTACACGTACAGGATAGAGATCGAAAGTGATGGAACCACGATTAGGAACAAGACATCCAAGGTCCCTGAAGCTGAAATTATGGACCTAGAGCCTGGGACGTTGTACAACTTCACAGTGTTTGCAGTGGCAGCTGATGCTCAGACGGAAGGAGAGGGAGTATCCATAGGGCGGTATACACGTAAGGAACCACCTCGGCCTCTCATGTGCAAGTAAACATGCAGTCTGTCCTGGGACACCATTTTTCTTTCCCTTGCGTTTGCAGCGCAGTGATAGTTGATGATGTGGGCTCTTGGCTCCAGGAGCCAGTTAGCACTGAAGCTCACACAGACTTTGGTAAAAGAGAAAAGGCCTGAGGCTCAGCCTGTGCCTTGTCCGGGGAGCAGTGAGTGCAGGGGCAAAGGCAGTGAGGCTGGCAGATATCCAGCTCCTCCAGTGGCTTGACTTCCTCTGGGCATGGGGCTGGATGAGCCTGTTCTCCTTGGAGCCGGCTCCAGTAGGATTGCAATAAAGGCCCTGCTGTGGAGGGACCCCATAGCTGGGATCACAGAGGATTTTCGTTCCCTGTGAGCGTGTAAAGCTGCGTGCAGGGTGAAAGAGCAGAGCAACTGGCCTGGGACTGCTGGGGCCTGCAACAGCCTCCAGGGCCCCGCGATCCTGCGCGGTGCCAGCTTTGCCCGCCTTGTCCTGTCTCAGCTGCCCCTGGAGCCGAGGGGGAGATGGGAAGGGAAGAGCCCTCATGCGTTTGGCTCAGGATGGAAAGGGGGCTGGCAATGTCCCTGCAAGGAGGGTGGGAGTGGAGTGACTTGAAGCAGCTACAGAGCAGGGCAGCTTGACTATGGTGCCCGAGGTCAGTCCCATCTATCTAACGTGGATGCCAAATCCTGCAGCGCAGATGCAGTCCCTGGCAGGAGTCAGCTGCCTGCCCACTGCCAAAGCCCATTTCTTTTTACTGGGGCTGGTGAGAGTCAAGGCTGCACGACTGATTTAGGCTCTTCAAAGTACAATTTAACAGGCAGAGACCATGTTGCACTATTTTTGTCATCCTAGATTTCTGTCTGTTTCTCTGTCTCAGAGGTCATTGTGGCAACAAATATGTTTGGCATAGGAAAGGTTTGTGAAAGGAGATAAAGAGAATGTCCTAAAAATCTCCTGTAGGTTTTCCAGAAATGCCCCAGTGTGCAAGCCTGGAAAGGAATGTTAGTACTGCAGAAATGTCCCATGATTCCAGGCAGGGCCCCTGTGCAAGACAGGGAAATATGGCTTTGCTGCTGCTTCCTTCTGTGTGTGTTTACCGTAGCCTCTTCTGTTGCCTTTAACAGAGCCTGGCCTGGTTCTTAATCTAACAGCACAGAACATTGGTCCACATCAAGTCAGCTTAAGGTGGACAGCAAATTCTTCAGTGTCCTACACATACAGGATAGAGATTGAAAGCAATGGAACCACCATTAGGAACGAGACGTCCAACGTCACTGAAGCTGAAATTATGGACCTAGAGCCTGGGACGTTGTACAGCTTCACAGTGTTTGCGGTGGCAGCTGATGCTCAGACAGAAGGAGAGGGAGTATCCATAGCCCTGTACACGAGTAAGTTACAGTTACTGCCACCTGTGTTTGTGGTGAACCGTGTGTTGCTGTAGAGCAGAGGGCTGTGCCTACCTGCCAGGGGGTGGTACTTTTGTGCTGTTGTGGGCAGAGGTGGTGGTGGTGTGGGTGAAGAATCTGGTTTCATCTCCCTGTCAAGGATGGGCTGTTAATGTGCAGAAGAAACGCAGCGCTAGTCTAATAAAGATAACAAATAAAGCAAAGCAGTCTTCCCCCTTGGGCTGACAGCCTCTGGTGTTGTCTTTTCGCAGAGCCCAGCACGGTTCTTGATGTCACGGCAGAGAATGTCACCAGTAAGTTACAGTTATTGTCACCTGTGTTTGTGGTGGATCGTGTGTTGCTGTAGAGCCCAGCTCTGTTCCCATCCATAGGACAATGCAGTTTAACCTTGTTGCGTGCAGAGGTGATGCACAGTGCCTGTCTGCAGAGCTGGGGGCTGTGAATGTGTGGAGGAAGCCTAGCCCTGAGAGGTGGAGAAGGAGCCGAGTTCCTGGCTCCTTGCCTGGATTCCTCCTGTAGCGATGCTTGACTTGCTTTCCACCTGTGTTTCTGGTGGATCGTGTGTTACTGTAGAGCCCAGCTCTGTTCCCATCCGTAGGACAATGCAGTTTAACCTTGTTGAGTGCAGAGGTGATGCACAGTGCCTGTCTGCAGAGCTGGGGGCTGTGAATGTGTGGAGGAAGCCTAGCCCTGAAAGGTGGAGAAGGAGCCGAGTTCCTGGCTCCTTGCCTGGATTCCTCCTGTAGCGATGCTTGACTTGCTTTACCTTTCAGAGCACAGAGGCACTGCTGCCTCCTCCTCCGCCTCGCCCTGCGCGCCTCTCTGCTGCCTGCCCACCTCGCTGGGCCCCAGGAGCAACCCACGTTCCTGCCGTGCAGGGCTGCAAGGAGGTGACCCCAATCACGACTCCTCTTGGTTGCCTCACGTGGCTGCACGTGCCAGCAGCCCGCAGGAGCAGCCTGGTAAAGCTGTCAGGCAGTGGCCAGGAGCACCCCGACGTGAGAGCGACTGAGCACTGGGCCCGTGGCCCTTCTGGCTGTCCTTGTGAGCAGATCTTCTTGCAACCTGACAGCCTCTTGTCTTGACTTCCGCAGGGCCCAGCCCAATCCTTGATCTCAAGGTGGAGTACATTGGTGTGCAGATTGTGAATTTGTCATGGAGAGTGAACGACTCTGCTTCCACGTCCTACATGTACAGGATAGAGATCGAAAGTGATGGAACCACCATTAGGAACGAGACATCCAATGTCCCCGAAGCTGAAATTACGGACCTAGAGCCTGGGACATTGTACAACTTCATGGTGTTTGCAGTGGCAGCTGATGCTCAGACAGAAGGAGAGGGAGTATCCATAGGAGACTCTACTGGTGAGTCAGAGCTCTCGCACCCGTGTTTGTGGTGGGCCACGTGCTGCTGTGCAGACCCTTGCTGCCTTCAGGACGCAAGAGGAGAGCAGCCTTTGGGCAGTGCTGAGCTGGGCAGCCTTGGTCCCCTTCCCCATTCCTCTCATGAGCGGAGAGGAAGATGTTGATGTGCTCTGGGAGGTGCCTGTTTTTCTAGCTCTTGGGTCTTTCCTTCTTTCACTATGAACGTGGGGTGTTTTATACTTCCTCTTTGTTTTTGTCTTTTTAATGTAGATGAAGTGAATCTTTTTCTAAAGGTCCTCCGTGAGCTTTTCTGAGGTGCCTCAAGATGAACAGTCCTCTGTAGTTATGCGAAAATGTTTCTCAACTACAAATAATGCTCAATCTCTGCCAAATGTGGAAGTGTGGCATTGCCTCTGCTTGCTTTATTTTCTATTTTTTGTTTGTTCTTTTGCAAATATTAGTGTCTTGGTCTCATTTTAATGTGGACGTAGGTGACACTTCTAACTACACCTACAGTGTACAAGTCCAAAGTTGGCAATTTTTCCTCTAGAAACTAGATGGCTATTGTCGCCAGAGCCATTGCTACAGATTTGAGCCCTGTAACCTGATAGAACTTGTCACTGTTTGCAGTAGCAGCCATCAGTATATCTGAAGGAGAAGGAGTATCTATAAGCCTCGATACAATAAGCTACAGTCACTCATATCTCTCATCTAAGTCTGTTTCTTCCAGCATACAGTTCTACTGCTTCCCTTTAGTTTCTTAAAATAATACCTTTTTTATAACAATAATTTAATCCAGCTGTATTTCTACCCCTGTATCTGAAGGTATCAAATACTCCTGAAACAGGAGAGGCAATGCATGTGCTATGGTGGCATGTGGTAATGTGGTATAGCTGCTGAAGTTATAACAATTTTGATCTTGAGGGCCAGCATTTACTTTAGAGCGATCTTTCTTCTTGGTATCAATGCTACTTTAGCCATTTTTGAGCATCTTTTTTCGAGTATCTTTTTCAGTCTATCACAAGATCTCTATTCTGCAATTATGTCCTATAGGTTACCCACACAAACTGACATTAAGGGCGCACAGTGACTTTAGTGCCCCTCTTATTTAGGTACTTTCTAGAGCCATTTATAATCTCTTTCATGTATGCAACTGCATTATTATGTTGTTCTTGTTTATTTTTGCAGTTCCTGCCCCAGTACCTTTATTTCAGTGTGAACCAGTGGCCAAGGAGTCTAACCTAACACTCAAATGGAAATGTCCTATTGGTAACAATTCTGGCTTCAATATAAAAGTATTTAAGGATAGCTGGGAAACAACCCAAGAGATTCCACGGTGTACAGGAGAAAACTTGGAAACCTTCAAAATAGGACCTTTTAATTATTTCACCACCTACAATGTAAATATTACAACTCTTTCAAATACAAAGGAAAGCTCTGCAGTGCACAGAATATGCAATACTAGTATTACGGGTAAGTATTAAGGTCCAAGGATGGAAAGATATGTATAGGATGAAAAAACCTCAGCATTGCAGAGTACCATAGTCTTACGATACATTATCAGTTTACCAGTTGTGAATAAAATAGTACATTCACAGAAGCTATGATAGAATGCACAAATAAATATCCATTATGTGAACAGTTGTTATTACAGTATTTTCTTGTTTTGAAAACTGTTCTTTTCTTGTTAGTATAAGGAACTAACAAATATTTCTCTGTTTATAGACCCACCTGCTCCTGATATTGGTCCTTTAGTTGAGGCCATCAGTCACACCTCCTTGTCTGTTAAATTCTCTGGTTTTGCATCAGTAAATGGACCGTTAAAAGCCTACGCAATAATCATTGTAACAAAAGCATCAGGTAAGGTGTTGTGAGATTTTATCCTAACTGTGTGAAACAGTTTATCAGAGAACATTATGTCAGGACATAAAATTTACCCTGATACTTGAAGCTTTAAGCTCTAAATAGATGTTAAATGAAGAGAGGAAAAGCTGACTCAGTATTTTTAATTGCATTTCAAAAATCCTGGTGTGAATACTTTTCTTGACTGAAGTTGGGTTGCTCCTTGTTTTCATAAAGCCACTGCTTCACTGAGACCTTGACCAACCTGAGTTATCCCAGTGTAAAAGTCTTATTTGGCAGTATTGCCACTCTTTTGCTACCAGCTTGATTTGTCAATGAATCTTCTCACAAGATTGTGTAGAGCCTTTTTTTTTTCCACAGAAATTTTCAGAACCACTAAAATAAACAGTTTGGGAATTTGGAATGTCTTCATCCCTACTTCCCTTCTTCCTTCAGCTGGAAGGTTTTTGCAGTGAGGTGCTTGAAAACATTTAGAGGGATGACAGCTTTTTTTTCTAGTGTTACTTGAAAGGCCTTACTGAGAGAGATGGGGTGCAGATGAAAGGCTTGGATAGCACTGTCAACGTTGTGTGCTGTGGGAAATGGAATGCTACAGGGAAATTAGTGGATGGTTTGTACAAGTCACCTCTTTAAAACATCAGATCAGAGAAACTCCTTTATTTGTTAGGTATGTAGTGATAAATCATGAAATGAAGGAACTTGCCTTTGCAGCGTAGGTTTTTGGTTGAACTCATTTTTATTTCTGCCAATGCACTGCAGGAATTGAGCAGCTGCTAAAAATAATTCCCCCATTTGGAGCATCATTACCTTTGGGATTGAGAGAGGGAACTTTCTTCAGCTGCTTAAGCAATAGTGCCTAAAGCTGTTTGAGATTCCCTAGGGCAGTATCCAAGACATCTCTGTGGGGCTGCAGATATTTTGGAATACTGTACGTTATTTTGGAATGGAAACTGGATACTGCATTGGATACTCTATTGTGTCTCATGTCATTCAACATCCATATCGAGGCAGCTGAGTTATTTCCAACATCAACTGCTTGAATGTAACCAAATGAGTTCTTTAGGAGAGCCAGCTTGCATGTCTCACCTGCACAGATGCAGTAGATGAGAACTTCACTGTTGATTGCAGTGAGGTCTGTGCACTCACGGAGAAGTTGCAAAGAGCTTTTCTACAACTCAGACCTTTCAGAGGGTTGTCCCTTAGTGTTCAGGCATGAAAGACAGGCAACTGTTTCAGAGGAAGACTCATTCCATGCATTTTGGGATAGGACAAATTGCCTTGTGGAGGTGCCTGTCTCTCTCCATTGAAGACAGAGAGCCTGGACTACCCTCAGCTGGCTCTGGTTAGGCAGGGTGACTCTTCCTGTAACCACTTGCCCTGCTTAGAAATACAAGTCCTATGTGTGAACTTATCTCTGGGGGGTCACGTTTGGCTCCAGGGTAGGCCCACAGAGAGGGCAGGCCAAGCCAAGTTTAACAACATCCTGAATGAAACTTGTCTCTGTTGGGTGGTGTGGTGTTAGCAGACACAAATTGGCCTTTTCTGTGCTGGTTGCATAATATTCTTTACTCTCACTAGTAGCTAGAATGGATTTAGATGTGACTTACTTGTCTAGTGAGAGTTGCTATAGGGCACTGGAGTGAGTCCTCGAGGCAACTCTCTAACCTCTAGAGAGTTGTTGCACCATATATGATTGAAATGAAACCAAGAGGACGTTAAAGTAGCAGCATGGGAGATGAGGGGAGTAGTTCAGTAAATTCTACTGCTGTAAAGAGGTCCTGAGGTTGTGTCTGTTGCACTTAGCCTTTCCTTTCAGGGAATAATTGTGGGACTATCACAACTAGAGTTACATGACACACTCTTACCCCTGACACATTGTACTAGTCCGTGCAAAACCAGTGGGTGATGTGTACCCCTTTATTTTTCCAGAAGGTTGTGGGTCTTCAAAGCCTGAATTGAACTGCACATATAAAGATTTCAAGCAAAAGAAGACTGCCACCTACGTAACGTATATTGTAGATATAGGGCAGTCATCTTTGCCCTCTGAAAATGGGACATTCACAGTTAATGTGGGCACTGGAAACAACGTGCATGGCTATGAAAATGGGCCACTGAGTCCACTTCATTCATACAGGTATTTATCTTAACCCACTGCCTGCCTATTTTTGCAACAGTTGAAATTTAAAGTATCATGTAATGAAGAGGGCTGTTAGAACAATCTCTCATACCTGTGTTTTTTTTTTCCCCTCCCTTTCTTTGTCAACAGGGCACGTGTGGCAGGTTTTACTAAGATAAACTTTACTGGGGCTGACATAATTGTGGGAGAAGATAGTTATGCATCATTTTCCCCCTGTTCTGCGCAGGTTTTGTTACCGCAGGACCCAGGTATGCCTAATGAAAAACTGAGGGCTGCAGGCTTTACACATGCACTGTTTGTGGCAGTTCCATAAGTATGGCAAATGATGTAATTATTTGTACAACAGCTGTTAGTCTCTGTGATGGACCTCTCCTCTTCAGCCTTGTCTCTGCTCTGTAAACCTGTACCTTGCTAGTTCTGCAAGTAGCATTTTTTTTTCCTGTCTGTAATTCCCATAACAAAAGTAACCAACTCCCCTGCTACTTATGTCACCCTAAAGGCGATTGGGTGGCACACTAATGCTTTGGTACAGAAATAAGTAGAAAGTGGCTGATCTTTAGAAGCTTTCGATTGTGATATTGCTGAAGGATATAGTGAAGAAAAGATGTTCGCTAGAGCTCCCTGGCATGTTGTTTACGCAGTTCAGTTCCCTCTCAGCTCAGCTTACTGGGCCCCTAATACTTATTTCAGAATCCATATGCAGACATCTGAGGGGATTTGCAAAAGAGCCTTAGTGAGCTACAGGACTGCCCTGAGCTTAGGGCACATGAACACCTCTGAAAACATGGCCCTCTCCGCCTCAGTTTTCTGTCTGTAAAGTAGAGGTGCGATGTCTGCTGCAGTTGCTAGAGATTAGTTATTGCTTTCTTATATACTGCCTAGTCCTGGGACTGTCCTCCCTTGAGGGGACTCCCCTGGGTGCAGTCTGTGTAATAAATTGCAAGTTCTAGTTAAATCAGATACACCCAAAACTGTTTGTGCGCCCAAAGCCAAGATACAGCTACACAGATCGCACTTGCCATGTAAATAAAAATCTAAAGTGGTTATTAAAAAACAAAAACAAACAAACAAAAAAAAAACATTTTGACCTTGCTGCCAATGTTGTACTATCAAAATGTTTAAACTGGAGTGTATTCCTAAGAATTAATTAGTGATTTTTTTTATTATTTTTTTATTTTTTTTTTGGTACCTGGAGTGGAATGTGAAAATCAGCCACTCCTGTGAGACTTTGACCTGTTTACGATCACTCTTGGTGGTAGTGGTGTGTATCTGTGTCTGCGTGTGTTATCTGTGTCCCTTGTGAGGTCCTCTTGTAGCGTGTTGATTGATTAGATCTCTACCGAAGAGGTAAATCAATAATGAGAAATGTCTGTTCTTTTCATAAGGTCTCATTGCTGGAGCTGTTATTGGATGCCTTTTAGCCATACTGGCTGTAGTTGCTGTAGGGGGCTACATATTCTGGAAAAGGAGAAGGTAATACATCTTCTTCCATCTATTCGTGGGGCTGTAGAACACCAGAGTTTTGTGTCTGTATCTTTCTGTTAGAAAGGCCTCTATTACCACGTTATGTATGTTCAGTCTGACAGTTTAAATACACTATATTGGGAATATTTTTCTATGTTTCAGATCAAAGTTTTACATCTGGCTAGTGAAATGGTTTTGCTGATAAAATGATCAACCCCATATTATACTAGTGGGTCAAGATCTACTTCATTTAGCTCTCATGAATTTATGCATACTCCTGAAGTAACTCAGTCACAAGTGAGCCAGCGTCACTGATTATAGGCTAAAAAAGGCATAACCTCATCTCAAAGGGTTTTATCTGAAAACATTCATAAGTGGTTCTCCTTCAACTGCTTTTTTTACTAGCTTTCTTCAGGGGGACCCCCTGCACTGAAGCTGTGCGCTTTGTGTTCAGGCGTTTTGCTTTGGCTGTTATAGAAAAAGCCATATATATATATATATATATATTTAAAGATCATTAAATGAGCAGCAAAGTGTTTCAGCCTTACTGCAGCAGTGAGGTTTGCCTCAAGGTGTTTTGCACAAGGTGAGATGCTGCAGCACAAATGGTTCTGAACAGGCACAGGAAATAGCTCTTGCCAGGAATCTCATATGAATTACATAAATCCACTGTCAGCCTCTGATGTTGTTTTCTTTCTCCTTATAGGAAAGATAGAAGAAATACTGAAATGTCCTTTTCTCCAATTAAGTAAGTCAATATCCTTTCGCACAATGTTTTCTGAGCATAAGAGATATTTGCAAAACTTGCTTTGAATCCAGTACTTGTTTTCTGTACAGTTCGTATAGAATTTTGCAGTACTGATTCCTTGTGGAATTTAAAGGCTTCAGCCTGCAGTATAAAAATAATCAGATTGACTGAGATTTCCACTGCTGCCACAGGGATTTGGTACTCACTTCCCACTATGATGAATTGCTGTTAGATATAAAAATACCTCATGCAGTTTTGAAAAAAAAATCATGTCTGCACGAAACTTAGGCTTTTATGCATGTTGAAGGAATAATCCAAACTGTGGATACAGTCACATGAGCAAAATTCTGTGCTGTAGCCCAGATTTTCCTTTGTTTTATGGCTACTTTTTGCTGAGCCATCAGTTCGGATAATACCGAAACTGCAGTGGGTGCTCAAAGGAGGGTCATCAGGGCACTGGCGATTCCAGGCAGTGCCAATGAGCCCTGGTATTTGCTGTCCCTGATGGAAGGACCCAGAGGGCCAGAGCATCCCGTGGGGTCCCACCTTGTGCAGCCTCTGCCATCTATACCAGGGAACAGGGCCAGTCTGAATAGTAGTGAAGTACAGGAGCAGCTGCCCGACACCCTCTTTTATATCCTCCTTCTGAAGGAGGTGCTGTTCTCCTTGGCCAAACCAGATCAGTTAAAGGCTATGCCTTGATATCCTTCCCCTGTAAATACAGTTTTGTGGGTGCCACTGTCAGAGTCATGCTTTCCTTCTTAGTTTCACACAGTAAAAAAAAATATAACCATGTGTGTCTAATCAACCTTTTTTTCTTTTTTTCCCCTTTACTGAAGAGTCAAGAAGTAAGTGATGCACATTTTGTTACACGTTAACTACATTCATCATTTGTTTTATCTGATATCAGTGCTAATACATGGCTTTCCTTGTTCTAGATCCAAGTTGATTAAAGTGGAAAACTTTGAGTCTTACTTCAAGAAGCAGCAAGCTGACTCCAACTGTGGTTTTGCTGAAGAGTATGAGGTATGTGTCCTCAGGTGGGAGAGGTTCATGACAGATATTTCTGAAAAGCAAACTAGCTTTCCTTTGGAGTGTGCATGAGGCTTCCTGAAGGAGGAGAGAAGGGTTCTTTATTGGAGATGGCTGATGGGCACGTGCTGCATTTCCTTCCCCCATTCGGCTCCTAATTTAGTTGAAGTCCACCCAAATGCCTTGCACATTGAACCGTTACATACAACCTACTTCAAGACCATTTCTGGTCTTTAAACACACTACTAAGCTTTCTTCTGTGAGGTTTGATGCTGTCTCTCACTGTTTGAGAAGAGCTGATTTCTATCATGATTTTTCCCAATTTAATATGCCTACTCTTAAAACAAGGGCCAAGAGAGTTTGGAGTGTTGGTTTGCTTCTGTCAAATGTTTCTGTGCTCTTCTTAGACTGAGTACTGATTAATCTGTGTTTTACTGCAGGAACTCAGGCCTGCTGGAGTTCATCAACCCAAGTTTGCTGCTGAACTTGCTGAAAACAGGGGGAAAAATAGATACAACAATGTCTTGCCATGTAAGTCACTCTCGAAGGTTTTGCATCTTGGACTGATGAGGTTTTAAGTGAAAACTTCTGCATTTAGTTGACTCACTTTTAACAGTACTGAAAAGCTTCCAAGAGGGATTAACATTGTCAAATAACAGTGTATGGATTTGGGATGTTGTTTTCTGGAAATCACTGTATTAACAAACCTAAAGAACTTTCCCTCAGCATGCCTTAATTAAATCAGTTTTAGTTCTGATTTGTGAGAAACTTAAAGTGAAGATTGAAAGACTAGAGGCAAGAGTTGACCACAGATGTGGGGAGCTATGAGAACTGTATGAGAGGGTTCTGGCCAGCTTTGCAGACACGCTAGGAGCCAAACCACTCTCACACTGTCTAGAGATCTCGGTAAAGAGCTCAAGGAGGAATTGGCAAGTGAGCAGTGAGGTCTCCTTGTGTGAGCTTTGGAGGAAAAGCCCAGCTGCAAGGGCAGCAGGAGAGAAATTGCCTGTTTTTTCTCTCACAGTTACAATTATAGTAGACCTAATGTTGTTTAAGGAAAATAAATCTGACTGCGGACAGTAAATCTAGAACTTCTGAGTCAAGATTTTACTTGCTAAAAGGGTAATTCTATTTAATGACAAAATACTATCATAATATTTCTTTCCAGATAAATGCATACTGTTGAGTTTTGCCAACTAAGACTTGTCTTAAGTTGTCACTTAAATGTCACTACAATTCCCTACAATGGAAGCTACTTTCATGTACAAGAGTACAAGAACAACTATTTTTTTTTTTAAGTTGGTATGTTCAGTATTCTGAAATTTTGTTTTGTCTTTTTCTTTATTGGCTGCTTATTTTTTCTGCAGACCTCCTAAACTGCTGCAATTTTTGATTCGTAAAGTGAGAGCTATATATTCTTATTTTTAACATGGATTTTTAAAAGAATCGTTTTTTTAAAAACAAATATTTGGAAACCATGCCTTAGGCGTATATTTTCCTAAAGTTCTGCTTCTAAAATTCAGCATTTTCTTTTCCTTTTTCCTTTCTGCAGATGATATTTCTCGTGTTAAACTGTCAGCCCAAAGCCATGCAACTGATGATTACATTAATGCAAACTATATGCCTGTAAGTGACTTAATTACCTGAAATGAAAAATAAGGTGTATTTTTATGATGTAATAGCTCTTAAAAAAAAGTCATGTGCTATATAATAGTAGGTTTATGACTCGTCATTAATTCTGGTGTATATGTATCTATTTTTATCCTCGCAGGGTTATACTTCTAAGAAGGCATTTATTGCTGCACAAGGTCCTTTACCCAATACTATAGATGACTTCTGGCGTATGGTTTGGGAAAAGAATATCTACTCAATTGTCATGTTGACAAAATGCGTTGAACAAGCCCGGGTATGGTCTTTTGTTTGGTTTTTTTTTTTTTGGTTGATTGTTTTTTGTTTGTTGGTTTTAACTGACTTAACTGTCTTTTGAAGAAAGTAGGATCTCTCCTAATTCAGGCATCACATGCTTTTCCACATAGCACCTAGTTCCCTGAAATCTTTAAACACTGCAAGCAGACATGTGTGTCTGCCTGCTCCTTGGTCCCAAAAGCGTTTGACACAGAGCAGGACTTTCTTCTGTGTTCGCTGATGCACTGTTGGCTTTAAGTATCCTTGTGAGCTTTTTTATTTTATTTATTTATTTTTGTGTTCCTCAAAAGCATTTAGCAAACGCTTTTCAGGTGGTGCTGTATTTGCTTAGATGAACCAAAAACTTTTTTTTTTTAACGCATCCAAGGAAACACAAAACATCAGCAATGCTAGAAACTGCGTCAGATTGTAGAGTTGTGATCTACTCTTACCTTAGGTGGGAAGATTCCTTATACACTGGAAGTGGATGCAGCTTGGCTCAACAGTGCTCTTGTGGCTTTAACTGAGCATTTTTTGCCTTTGGTGAAATGGATTTATCTTACTTTTATGGACATACTTATGTGTCTGTGTATGTATGTTTATTATAAACTCTGTTTCAGTTTAATGTATTTCAGCTGAAAAGCTGACTTCTAGGCCTTTCAGGCAGACTTTCTTTGCAGCATATCTGGTTCATCATCTCTGAGTGTTTTCAGCTAGTCTGGAAGTGAAGAAATACTTTTACTGTCAAGAAATGCTCTACTATTTGGAAGAATACGTTGTTTCTATTTATAAGTTATTGCTATTTAAATTTTCTTTACTGCAGAGTGATTTTATTATTAGCCACAGTAGACTAGAGATTCATTACTCTTTTCTTACAACAAGCATGTACTTACTGGAAGGCTGTTGTCCACATTTTTCAGCTTTTCTCTTAGTTATATCTGCTGACCATCAGAACAGCTTGTCTCAAGACAGCTGTGGCATCTTTCTTTTTAAAGGTGGGTTCTTCTCCATAAAGATGGGTTAGGAGAACTGCTGCTGCTGCCTTGGCTTAGGCCAGTGGCGGGGAGGGTGAAGCACTTCCCAGCTCTACTTCATGTGGCTGGTTAGTATTTAAAACTAGCGCTCAGTTACTGCAGCATCAAGATGGAATCATGGAAAACTCTCCTGACATGTTTCATTGATCAGTGTAATGTATCTAATTTTTTTTTTTTTTTTTAGACAAAATGTGAGCAGTATTGGCCAGACAAGCAATCCATGAGTTACGGTGACATTATTGTGACAATGGTCTCAGAGATTAGCCTTCCAGAATGGACAATACGGGACTTCACTGTAGAAAATGTGAGTACTTCCCCAACTCTTAGTTGTGTACAAGTATCTTTAGAGGTGGATTTATTGTATCACACTGACTTCACGTGCCAAACACATTTGGAATAGAAAAATAAAATAATTTCACTAAATCTTTCAGTCAAATTCGAAGTGGAAGGAGATATTGGAGTAAAGTGTCATGTGAAAGGAAATTATTTCAAAGTGTTCTTTATTTAAAAGATTAATTGGATTAACATTTATCAAAGTACAAAGCGTTTTTAACAACCAACTTCAATGAAGCTAGGCTTTGACTGATCCATATGGTAGAAAACCCTACTGTTTTTCTCTCAAAGCCCAATTGTTTTCTGTTTTTCATGTGCGTTTCTCTAGACTAACGTATCGGAGGTTCACACGGTGCGCCAGTTCCACTTCACCTCCTGGCCGGATCACGGAGTGCCAGAGACAACGGACCTCCTCATCAACTTCAGGCACCTCGTTCAGGAATACAACAGTCAGAATCCCATTGACTCTCCTGTGCTGGTGCACTGCAGGTAGAAAGAACCTTTTTTGCCTTAGATGCTGCTTTTTTAAGAAAAACTATTTTTTTTCATTGTGATTAAAAAATGTATATCTGTATCTATGTATGTGAAAGCCCATGCAGTCTCTTTGCTGTTCAAGGACATGGCTGTTCATCCTGCCAAATTAAGACCTTTGCCTGTGCCTCAGAAGCACAGCAATGCTATGCAGGTAGCAAAGTTCGTGACGTGAAAGCTCATTAGGGCGAGTTGTCTCTCCTAGGCTGGAAAACTTGCTCTAAAAAGTTGCCTTTTCAAGTGCTTTCATGTATAGTCTTCTGAAGCTGCGAGGCTGGAATGTCTGGAGGTCCGGCCTCCGTCGGGGCTGTGGTAATAAGGGCACCTCTAGGCTGGGCCTTTGATCCCTGTCCCACTGAAACAGCAATAATCTTACCAGCTCCACGGGCTTTTCCTGGGGATGGAGAGGAGCCTGTGCCTGAAGGAAGCAGTTCACAGCTCCTGCTGTGTTGTTGCAGTGCTGGCGTGGGAAGGACGGGCACCTTCATTGCCATCGACCGCCTGATCCAGCAGATGGAAAAGGAGAACAAAAACGTCGTGTACGACCTCCGCATGCACCGGCCCCTCATGGTGCAAACCGAGGTAGGGGCTCGCCTGTCACCCAGCAGCGTGGCCTTCAGAAGGCAGAATAACCCAGGGCAGGTGCAATAAAGGTGCAGCTCAGAATTACAGGACAATTATGGAGTAAAGAAACAACCTGCTACTTAAATTTTACTCCTTCCCACCTTCTGTCTTCCCACAAAAGTGGTTACAGCCAGAGCCATATAGTACTCACCAAGCAATTGTCTAGCAACCTTACAGAGTAATTTGGAGGGCTGGTATTTGCAGCCAGTACGAATGAAGTCCTGAAAGAATCTTTTTTTGTTTTGTTTTATTGTTTTGTTGCTGCTGCTTGCTCTACCCACATAAAATTTACCTTTATCACTATGAGCTCTAAGTGTCTTGAGTTTCTGTGTGCATCCTCTCTTGTGCATTCTGCAGGGAACACACACGTTTCTGCAGAGATTACCACTTTGATCCAAAAAGGTCCAAATGGATAAGCTCAAGCTGATCTGTGAAGGCAGTAGAATCTCCATCTTGAAAGTCTTAAAAGAATGTTAGGCCTGACAGTAAATTTGGTCCCAATTTTTGACTGGGTGTTGCTCAGATTACATCATGAGTCCAGTTTTCTGTAGGAAAGGCAACTTCTAAAAATGCTCTCAGATAACATGCAATGCAGTACATCCAAAATCCAGAGCCTGTATTAAAGAGCAGAACTGCTGTCAAAATAAAGTGCTAACTAAAACTGTTTTACCTTCTTTTTTTCTCTTTCTCCCCTCAGGACCAGTATGTCTTCCTAAACCAGTGCGTTATGGATATAATTAGATCCCAGAAAGACAAAAAAGCAGATCTTATTTACCAAAACATGACGGCAATGGCAATCTATGAAAACTTCACTCCCGGGCCAGGTTTTGGGAAGGCCAATGGCTACCATGTGTAAAACGGGACGGACTCCACTGTGTCCAGGAGGTGTTGTGTTGTCTGCACATAGGAAAGGGAACTGCTCCACTCTTGTTTTCCAAGATTGTCTCGTGTCCAGCTTCTTCCAGTTCTGTGCAACTGATTTGAAGACGTGGTCTACAGGAGGAAAAAAAACAGTGCTGGCAGGAGCCACAGGTTGATATAAAAAGAAGCTATTTAAAGTTAACAGAGGAATTGTGCTTTTCTTGGGAATTTAACAGCACTGATAGGCGAAATAGCATTTGCAGTACGGATGGTGAACTAGAATTTAAATATTAAAATAATAACACAAGCTTTTTATTACAGTTTTATATGATATCCTTTACAGACACCAAGCTTGTGAGCTGTTTTAATATATTTAATTATAAGTTTCAGGAACATATTTTATCTACTGTATCTGGTTATTTAGCTAATAGATATGTGCCTCTGTTTTTTTCTGAGTATTCCTTTTTATTTGAGAAAAGGAGTACAAACACCTCCTCCAAATGGACATTTATACTTGGAAATTGTGCCTTTTCTAGTTGCTACTCTAGAAAAAAAAACAGCAGAGATTCTATTTTTGTACTGAGACTCTTAATGAGAAGACAGATTTTTAAATAAGGCTTATGTCAAACTTATAACTGTAGTTGCACTGTTGGCAGGACTGTCCAGAAGTTTGGAGGTGAGCTTTGTTTTTTTTGTTTGTTTGTTTTTTTGCTTTTCATCACAAATATCCCCTGCCTTAATGTTCTGGTGCCTCTGAGAGAGGAAAAGGAGTGTGGTGCCTCACTCCGAGCTTTAATCATAGGAAAAACATGAGCAAGTGAGTCCGTGTACGCGTGTGCAGGGGTGTGTGTGTGTAGGAAGGATGGAATAGCTCCTCCCTGTTCCTGGCTGATACTCCTGTTTTTACACAGTTTATAACGGTTTATTTAAAGGTGCAATATATGATTTACTGAATAATGATTACTCTATTTTGATAGAGTTTTACTCAGGTTGGTGTCTTTTTATCATTATTGTTGTTTTTCGTCAAATGTGTAAATCTGTGAAAATGTTGAACTGAGATTCCAAGTGTCCAAGCACTCCCAAACAAATTGACTGGCTTTACTCTTCCTACCAAAACAAATTGCACAAAGTTCTGCTGTAAATACCAATTTCCTGGTGGTTTTAGCCATTCGAAGCTGAGACACATCTTACCTGACTGCATCTCATTGATCTCATGTATTTGTTCTGTAATTATTTGCAATGTACTGCTGCTGCTGTTTGAACTGGTCCTTTTTCCAACAGAACAAACAAGCAAAACCCTAGATGCTGATCTTACAAGTTGAGGATTAATTTGGATTTGTTTTGCTGGTACATAACTGCTAGATTCATGAAGGCATTACCAATGAAGGACTTATGAAGTAGCTTGGTGGGGGGGGATAGAGGGGCAGTTGTTTTTTGGTCTTTGGACTGTTGCACTGGTTGCATTGTAGAAGAATATGAAGCTTATGAATAATGCTATAGAATAGCTATAAAACGGTGAAAATCTTATGAAGGTTTAATAACCAGAGTCCCTGGAATTCTGCTGCTTTTTTTTTTTTTTTCTTCCCTCTTTTGATTTGGGAATAGCTGCAAGTGCTATGAAATGTGTGGCATTACAGTGGGAGCTGGCGACCCTCTAGAACCACTGTGAGCTGGAGAATGTCTAGGAATTCCTGGAACACAGCTATAACTTCATGGATAGTCGGAGGAATTTCTTCCAACCTGGTGTGAAATTGCGGTGTGCTGCGTGAGCAAAACTGGAGACAAACCACAGTGTGCTTCAGCTCTCTTGATTTTTTTTTTTTTTTTTTTTGGTAGCAGCCACTTGTGGGATCCTGAATATTTTTTTTTCTCTCTTTCTCTGCAATGCTTAAACACAAGAGATTAGTGACCCCACAGAGGCTCTCGCGATGACGGTGCCTGCAGCGGATCTCTCGCCCCATGTCCTTTCTGAGCTGCTGTCAGATGACAAACCACTCAGACCAAACAAAACTGTTCCAAAGGACTTGGGAGGGAGGAAAGCTCACCATATATAGTTACGCTGTTTCTTTTTCTAATTTTCCAAGTACTGCGCTTCTGTGCAGAGCACAGAGCCAGGATTCCTTACTCCTGGTCTCCCAGGAATGGGCTGCCTTATGGTAGTGAGCTCTCCCTTCCTTCGGAAGGCCCCATGTTCTTCACCATGGAAGAGCAGGAGATGCATCTTCTCCTCTGGGTCATGCCTCTGCAATGTGCTGGAGCAGAACATCAGGAAAGCAGCTAGTGTGGGGCTCCTGCCTGGCCACCGCGCTGGTACTGTTGCGGAAAAGCAACATCTGTGCCATAACTGTCACGTTGGAAAGAGACTGCGCCAAAGTCTTGCTTGCCCTCATCACCCAACAAGTATCCGATTTTAATGCAGGTGCATCCATTTGAACACTTCTGCCATTCCCCAAAACTGAATCGTTGTGGAGATTGAACCAGACGGCCTGCTAGTGCTAGGAATATGTGGAAAAAGTTGGTAACACTTAAAATGTTGTAAACAATCAGCAATAGCACCAGTGCGAGTAGCTAGCACAGGCCTGGTGCATCCTACCTGCAGGGATATCCTGGATATCCGACGGGGAGCACTGTTGTCTCCTGGATTCCTTCTGGCCAAGGTGACGTGGATCCCTCGGGCGTTTCTCACCTGACTTCTGCTCTTCTCCATGTTGCAATTGCTGAGATCCCTCTCTCTTTGGTCAGTGTTTTCCCCTGCTGTTGCTTATCTAATGTTACCCCTTTTCCAGGCTCAAAGCTCTGTTGTGCTCTGACGGGATCTCCTGCATTTCCCTTTTACCCTTTTTCCCAGTTGGAGCCTGCTTAAGAAGGGACAAGTTGATGTGTTTCAAATAAGTGACTGCTAGTTGAATATCTTGAAATGATGTATAAATTTTATTGTTTCATATTTGTTGTACAGGAAATTTCAGCACATGTCTATAATATTTTTAATGGTCTGATTTGTTTTTAAAGATACAAAAATAACAATTAAAAAGCATCATCCTAGAGCACTTGCTGTCTTGATTCCTTTATTAGGGTTTTTTCTTTTCTGTGCCTTTCGAGTAAGATGTCCTAAACGCCCATTTCCTTGAGAGGGGCTTCGCAGTCGATGAGGGAAGGGGTTCTCATCGTCTCCCGTGGCTCTTGGGTTTGCGTTTCAGCCCCTGGGCTCTGTGCAGGGCTGCCGCTGCGTCGCTGAGGGCTGCATGGCAGGTCTGGGATGTGGTGCCCAGGTGTCCTGGCCATGGAGTGTCGCTGCCACAGGAGACCTTGGGCCGCGCAGAGCCACGGGTCGGTTCCGCTGCTGCTGGTTGAGCTGCGCGCACGTTCCAAATGATCAACTGTGGAAGCTCGTGATGCCCTATGACCTGCTCTCAGTTGTCTTTTAAGTCAGCCTAACATGTTAGTTCATCTCTCAAACTCAGTTCACGCTTATTAAACGGGCCTGACTGGATAACGGGATTTCATTTGGCAGGAAATGGCCTTTCCTCTTGCAAGGCCCCCACGGTCCGGTCCACGCTGCGCAAGGGCCACGTGTGGCAGGAACGTCACCCCTTGCTCTTCAGTGCTGGTGTGCTTGAAATGTTTCTGCATCTCCTGATTTCTGTGAAAACCAGTGATCTTGTGCCTGTTTGCGCAGGCAGGAGTTGGCTCAGTCTGAGTGTTGGCAGCCTGCTTGTCCGAAGAGCGCGTGTCTGGTGACTGCGTGCCCAGTCTGGTCCTGGTGTTGCTTAGATTGCCCGTCTCTGAGACTGAGAGGCAGAGACCGGAGAGGAGGAGGTGATGCCAAAATTGCTTTTTTGTTTTAAGATAAATGGAAATTTTTCTATCTGTATTTGTTTGTAGCCCCTTTTATTTCAGACAGGCGCCTGAGCGCCATGTCAAAGCTTGCTTTTGAGGGGAGGGCTTTCCTCAGTCACACAAATCTCCCCCGTAACCGTCAGGAAAACTCCTGAGAGGGAAGAGGGGGTTTGTGTGTGTTCTCTGAAGTACGTGGGTTGTTGGGGGTGCTGGCGGCCAGGGAGGAAGGCACGAGGGGGTTGCGTGTGGTGGTCAAGAAAACATGGGTCAGATTTTAAAGACGCTCTAAGAGATCTTGGGATTCTTTTTTTATTTTATCTGGCAGGTCTCAGACTTGGCACTTCCAGCGCCGGGCTTGTCCGACCAGAAGGCAAGTGGGCTCCGCGGGAGAGGCTCTTCTCCGCCCGCCCTCCCTGAGGTAGGAATGAGCCCCAAGGGCCCCCGCCAGGAAACGCAGCCTGTCCGTTTCCTGCTCCAGCCTCCAGGTGGCATCTGGCGCCATTAGTCTCTCCAGAGGAGGCTTTGGCTGCGGATGGGCCCTGTTTTCAGGAGATTCCCGACTTCTCTCACCTCCCTCGTCCCCACAGGTCCCTTGTGCCCGTGCTGGCCTGGGAGCTGCTCCAGGGCTGACTGGATCCAAGCACATGGTTTGACCAAGACACCCGGTTTGACCAAGACACCCACAGAGCTGGATTTGCGGTGTGCACTGTAGTGAGGCCCGGGGGTGCCTCACGTTTTCAGCTTGCTGCCAGCAATAGTCATATTACTCCTGATAAGACTGTTGCTGTTACAACTTGGTAGTTTGAAAAGCAACTTTTGTGGATTTTAGGAAGTGCTACCTTTATACAAAACGCCACCAAGCTAAGACCTGAACAGTTCCACTGGGCCTGAAAAACAAGCATTCTTCAGAGTTTCTTTGAATTTTATTTTTCACCATTTGGACTTTTTTTTTTAATAAGTAATTTATAGCAAGGATGACCATTGCTTGCTTCATTTTGGAGTTAAGAGTATAATCCATTTTTTTCCCTCAGATGTGTTTTGCATTCAAGGGGAATGAAATCCTGAGAAATCCAAGGATCCTGTCAGGGCCAGGCAACGCACCCACTGCTGAGAAGAGCTGCAGCGAGACCCACGTGGCGCTGGAGAGGGACGAACAGG